AATTTCACTCCTGGGAGTCCAACTAAGAGAAATGAAAACATATGTCCACACCAAGACATGCGAATAATGCCCACAGGGACATTACTCATAATAGCCTGAACTGGAAACTCAAATGTCCCTTAACTGATGATCAACAGTTAAACAAAATGTGGTATGGATCCATACAATGGAACACCTGTCAGCAATCAGAAGAAAGAACTACTGATACATGTTACAATACGGACGAGCCTGGAGAACATGCTGCGTGAAAGTAGCCAGATTCAAAAGGCCACATAGACTACGATCCATTTATATGTACAAAGGTAGAGGGTTAGGAAGCAGGTTAGCAGTTGCTGAGAGTGGGATTGGAATTAATGTAAAAAAAAAAAAAAAAAGGCCACTGGATCTGTGTAAAGTGATGAGAATGTCCTAACACTGGATTATGGCGATTGGTTGCAAAACTCCATAAATTTACTCAAACATCTGAACTGTACACTTTCGGTGGGTGAATTGTAAGACATGCATGTTATTCCTCAATAACAGTGTTATAAAAACAGAACTGAACAGCTCTAGTGCCAAGCCATTCTATGCATGGCTGAATGATGCATGGGGGGAAAGGAAGGTGGTAGCCCTTAGCAAAACACAGGTGTTGTTGCAATAAAATACCCAATGTGACTTATCCTATCAATCGCATCCAGTTCTAAAATCTAACAGCAGTCAGCTTTACCGGGTCTCACAATCCTAAGAGGACAGCACAAATATTATCCCCACATTACAGACGAGAAAATGGAATCTGAAAGGGAAAGCAGCTCACGTGAGGACCCACAACTACTAAGCAGCAGAGCTGGGCCTGGGACGTGGGCCTGCCTGATTCGGAATCTGTGTTCTGTACCACTGCTCCTACCCTCCTCCACCTACCGCCTCCCCCTGACTCTCTGGCCCCCAGCAGAAACGCACAGCACTGCTCAGGCAAGCAGAGCAAGGACGCTAAGCTGTCCATCTTGCTGGAGCAAACACAACCTTTTACTTAGGTCTCCAGCACCAATGGTCCCTGGAGCCCCCCTAACCACTGATCAAGAAAGGCCTGGATGCACGTAAGCAGCACATTTGGGTGAAGGCACTAGCATCAGCTTCCACCTGGAACGCGTAGTTCCCAAAGCCTGTCGGAGGTTTAGCAAAGATGAGCCAACACTCAGGGGTAGAGACGACCTTAGGTTCAGCCACAGGCCTGCCCAGAAGAACTGCTCACTCAAGCTTTGCTTCGGAGCTGCAGGTTTCCAGGGAGCACTCCAAGCCGGGCCCTACAATGCCACCCTGTCCTCCCGGCACACCGGTCTGGCAGGGAGCTGGCAGCAGCCTCACCTCTGGTCCGTGGCAGACAGAGCTCATTGTTCCTTCTCTCTCGTAGCATTACCTGTTCGCTCTGCCAGGCCAAGGCACAGAGAGACTGTGCGGCCGTTTCAAAAACATTTTCTGGAGATTTCCTGGCAAGCTCACGGAGGCCTAAGAGTGTGCGAGTCTCTGAAGGGAGTGGATCCTGCACGTCCAAAGTCTTTCCTGTGATAAGCCCAGGCGCTGGGCACACTTGATAGGGCGTCTTCTCTCCCCTTGTCCCTTCTACCCCAGACACACTGGCTTCCTGCCGTTACTCAGGTCCATATCCTCCTGCTGGGATTTTTAAAAAAATCTGTACCTGAGGAGGATATGTCATTTATTGATATTAGAGACAAAGGCGGGGAGAGGAGGGAGAGAGAGCAGAAACATTGATCAGACCGGCCACCCCTACACACGCCCCAACAGGGGTCGAACCCAAAACCTAGATAAGTGTGCCCTAAGAATGGAACCACAGACCTTTGGAGTTAAGGACGACGCTCCAACTAAGCCAACGGCCAGGGCCTCCTGCTGGCTTTTTGCAAGAACTGCCCTCACTCTTTGGAACATTTCCCCAGGTACCATCTTCTTCCTTCTTCTACCTTCCTCGGGTCTTTGCTCAAATGCCACCTTTTCAGGGAGGCCTTCCTGACCACCATTTAAAATTGCAACCCTCCACCCCCCAGCACTCCCTTCCCTGTTCTGCCATTTTTTCCCCACAGCATCTACTCCCATCGGTCATACTACCTATTTCCCTTATTTGTCCCTCTCCCTCCCCCAGGGGTGTGCTAGGAGGGGAGGGAGTTTGCCTTTTCTAGGTCTGTCTCTATAGTGCCTAGCACAGAGCCTGACATGGACTAAGTGTAACCACTAGCTTAGAAGGAGTAACGCAGACATTAAGGGAGATTTTGTCAGAGACCAGCTAGGACTTCTCACCCCTGCTCGGAGGTGACACCAGCCAGTCTAGGAGAAACCAGGAAGGAACTGTCAACATGCTACATGGAGACAGCTGGACCAAGACACAATCCATGCCTCCCCCACACGTCTGCACAAAACTGCACTGCGGGTATCTGCAGGTGCTGGTCCATTCTGCAATACCTCATGGGCCAGGTTCTTGGGAGGCCCTCTGAAGTCTGGGTGGGCGACCCCGCTGGCTGGGACATAAGGAAAGCATCTCAGACATCGAGTAAGAACGGGGTGGATGTCGGTTCTGGAACAAACTGTCATTCCACAGGAACTCTGAAGAGGTTTTGTCAAGTGCATGGTAAAGCGTGAAGCCTGGACAGGGCTTGGTCTGGGCACAGGCAGCTGCCAGGGGAATTGGCCACACATGCCTGAACCCGGCTCTTGTCCAGGCTTAGCTCACACCACTGAGCACGGTTCCTCTCGCGGGTCCATAGCTTCCTCCCCACCCACCTGGGCCAGGACTGTTGAGCTCAGCCATGATGACTAGCTTCACATCAAAGCTGACAGAAGCCCTCTGCCTGTGGTCACTCCATACAAAGAACGGATGCCTGGTCAAGGGCGGAGGGGTGGTAGGCAGTTTCTCCCAGCGCATTGCTCATTCTGCCCGCTTGAAACCAGCTCCCTTTCCCAAGCTGAAGGCAGTAGAGGGGGAACAAAACCACAGGCGTTAAAAGCACAGTGGTCTCAGACAACTTGGCTTTGAATTCCAGCTCTGCCACCAAGTAGATGGGTAATCTTGGGCAATCTCTTTACCTCTCTGACCCTCAGTTTCCTTATCTGTAAAATGGGCTCACAACGGTATCAGCTTTGTTGGGTAGTTGTGAGAATTAAGCAGAATTCCAATGTGCAAGCCCCGTTCCTGGCAGGTGGTTAAGTGTTCCATACATGTTAGATCTTGTTGCTGCTGTTGTTATAAAATAAAGGAAGAGAAGGAGGAAGTCAACCTCTAGCTACTGGCTGCCGACAGCTGAAGACCTCCAAGGTTATGAGTCCCCAGGCAGTGAATTTGCTGGTAATTAAGGTGCCAGAAAGGCAGCCTCTCTCCTTTGGGCTTCAGAACGGTGCAGGCCCTCTGAAAGGAAAAACCAGCCTGAAAGGAAACTTCTCGGTGACCATGGGAATTATTCCAGAGAGGGGCTGTCAGGGCTAAAAGTGTGACCCTGGAGGGGGAGGAGAAGAGGCCCCAAAGCCACCAAATCCCAGAGTTTATAATTAGCAGCCCAGCATCCTCTGTGTCTGCACGAGGGCCTACCTGGCTCAGGGGGAAGGGCACACACAGTCACACAAAAACAACCCCCCAGTGGGTTTTTGAAGTGCTGAGCCTCTTTGTTTTTCTGCATTTTAATGAGGGGCCGGGCAGGAGGAGAGCAGCACTCACTCCCTGGCCGGAAGTGGGCTTCGTTAGCCGCCAGCCCGCGAGGGCCTGATCCAAAGTGGCGTCTAGGAGCAGCGGGCCCTCAGATGCGATGTCTTGGGGAGGAAGAGAGAAAAACAAAAACTAAAGATGCCTCTGTTTAGAAACAGGCTGGGGCTCTGCGCCAGATCGCAGGGCATGTTGGAAACAGGCGGGGGCGCTGCGTGGGGGAGCTGTGGAGACAAGCAGCTGCGTGTCTGAAAGGGCGGAGGGAGGCCGGCTCCCTAAGAAAGCGTTTCTGTGGAAGGCTCAGGGCTGCCACGCTGGCCCCCTGCTTCTGAGAACCAGGAACCAGGCTTTGAACCTGGGGCAGAAGGAAACATGCTTTGGGAGTCTCAGGCACAGGTGGTGGGAAGAGGGTGAAAGGGGAGTGCTATCAGAAAAGCCACCGAACCCCAATGTGAGGAAGGGGTCACCTTATCACACCCCCTTCCTGCTGTGTCTTCAGCTAAGCCACCTACAAGCACAAAGGAGATAGTGGAACTTCACTAATTCAACCGAAAGTCCGCAATAAGAAAGGTGTCCGCCAGGCCACCCAGCAGGCAGCTGCTTGCAACCCCCATACCCCTGATGCTTACAGGCAGATGCTCCAGGGAACTGCTATGGCCTCTGATTGAATAACTTCGAGGAGTGTCATTCCTTCTCTCCCTGAGCTAGCTTTCCCTCATGCTCTTCCACAGTAGGCAGAGCTCCCATAAAATTGTTTAAAAGCTGCTTCCTTAGAAAAAAAAAAAAAAAACAATTTAGCCCTGGTCCATTGCTCAATGGTTAGAGCATTGGCCTGCGGACCAAAGGGTCGTGGGTTCGATTCCCTGGCAAGGGTATGTGCCTCTGCTGCAGGTTCCTCGGCCCCTGTGGGGGCATGTAAGGGAGGCAACCAATTGATGTCTCTCTCTCAGGTTGATGTTTCTCTCTCTCTCCCCCCCACTTCCCTTCCTTCTACTTTCTCTAGAAATTAATGGAAAAAATATCCTCTGGAGAGGATTAAATAAAAACAATTTTAAAAGAAAAAAGCAATTTATTACAACTGAAAGATCAATGCAGTCTCCTGAAAATAAGTATTTTTATTACAAAATATTCCATATGAAAATTCTAAGCTCTTTGCAAGCTAAAAAAGCTTTAGGCTTATTGAATTATTTAAAAAGTCCAAAGTGGACTTTAAAAAGTCCAAAGCGAAGGTTATTCTGTGCAGAGAGTGGTTTGTTGCCCCAAGGGCTCAGGTGTGTGCAGACTGTCCCACGGGGTCCTCCTCCTCTGCCTGCAGCAGGTCTCACTCGGTGAGAAGCTCTGAGGACACCTCAGTGTACAGATGGTCCCAGTCCCAGCCGACGTCCTCCTGCCGAGAGAGATACCGCTAACTTTCTCGGGACAAAGGAAGGCCTTTCCCAGTAGCCAGAGCCCACCGCCCAAGCCCAGCAGCCACAGAGGCAAGGGTCAGCCTGGGGAGCCAGGTGGTTAGAGGAATGAGGCAGCTGAGGGAGCAGGAAGCTGCTACTGCTACGTACTTCCCTAACTTCCTGTTCTGGTGCAAGTACTTTGGTGAGGAGCTTCAAGTCGATCACTCCATCCTGTGAATGCAAAGAAAAAAAAATTTTTTTTTTAAAAATGGATGTGCATTTTAAAATGGATGTGCATTTCAAGAAAGATGTGCTTTACAATTAACTCTTGTAAAGTGAGGAGGATCAGGTTGTGGGGGGCAGACTTCCCAAACCCAGAGCTGCAGGAATGCTTTCTGAAAGAGTAAGAATGTGAGTGGACCACACAGCCACTGAGGAAACGCCACGATACCCCGCACGCTGGGCATTCTTTGGAGGAAGGTTAACATTAGGAGGGCAAGGCATGGCAGCAGCCTTTCTCTAGGCCTGCTTATCTATTGACCCCGAGTGGGCAGCCATGGAAGCAGGTGGGAGCTGCGCTGGAAAACACTGGAATGTGCGGCCCGCAATACCCAAGCACGATGCCTCCAGCAAAAGGACAGTTGCCAGGCAACCCAGAGGCCCCTGGAGGAGATGAAAAATCCCTGAGGACGCTGCCTGGAGCCCCGCCCTCTAGGCAGGAGCATCTCCACTCACCAGGGTCTGAAAGGCTGCGCACTTCATGAGGTCATTGTCCAGGTCACGGTAGGTCATCACCCGGTTTACCTGGACGCTGCAGGAGAGAGAGTGTGAGGAAGAACCAGAGGCAGGATCAGTTGCAGGAGTGCTGCTGGGCCACTATCCACAGAGCCTCCTTGGCAGCTAGAGAAGACCAACCTGGGAAGAAAATATCGAATAAAATGGGAACCCTGGGAGGGAGCCCTCCACCAGCATCTGGGCCTGCACTGGGGGGCAGCACCACTGTGGGTGGCATTTGAAGTGTATCAGTTCACATGTTCCCTGCCTCCCTCCAGCTTCATAATCTAACATACCTGGGAGGGGCTGCCACCTGCAACACAAAATCTTCTTCCTGAACTTCTTCCAGATCCGGAATAACAGGAATATCTGCAATAAGAAGAGGCAGCAAAACTGTCAGCAGCATGAAGAGGGATCTTGCCTGCTTCTTTATATATTACTTATTCCTTCAGCCGGCCAGCATGGGGCTACCAGCTCAGGCAGAATGGAGAGACACAGTCTCTGGCCTCCAGGGGCTCCCAGTCCAGGGCTATGGGACTGAACTACAGGTGCACATTAGAATCAAAGGTAGAATGTCAACAAGTCCAAATCCTGAGCTTTACCCCAGAACCAGCTGGGTTAGAACCTCTGGCATAGGGCTCAGGCATCTGTATTTTCCCTAAGATTTCTTCGGCGATCCTCATGTTCACTCCAGGTTCGGAGTCACTGGTTTGGGTCTCCAAGGAGAAATGTAAAGAAATGAGAAGAGCTCCCAGACAGCGTTAGAGGGAAAGAGGGAAGGGGAATCGGCGAATAAGCCTGGAAATAGAGGAACTGAGAAGGCGCAGTGCCATGAGGCGAAGGTCACTGGCCTCCCCGTGACCAAGGTGCACATGTGCATTAGCTCATTGTAGTCCTTGCAATCGTCACAGTCTCCATGGCCCTGAGCCTGCGTCTGAAGGTCACTTGACACGTAATGCTACAGCCTGGCTCCCAGCTGTGTATCCGAGACCAGGCCTGCATTTGCCAGGTCTATTGCAAAACAGTGCTGCTTCTAAAGATGACGCTTCTCTTGCTGTCGCACAGAGACTTTCCTTGCCTGGACTCTCCATATGAGACAGACATACAGACATAGAAGGAGTCACTTCCTTCACCAATTTAACAAAGTCATGCAAATGGAGAAACATAGACATCACTTAATTGTGGCAACTGACTTAAGGTACAAAAATAGCCCATGCTCTCCTGGGGACAACCTAACACCCGACAGAAGAATGTCCTTCTCCAGTGAGTACTGCTGACTGGCAGAGGGGTTTTCTTTGTTTTAACCAGACTGCAGAGAGGGGCAGAGCGAACAAAGAGGTAAGGCCGGAAAAAAGACCAACTGGGCTGAGATAGTGTCAGAATTCCCAAACTAACACAAATATCAAAAGGAGGGGGAAAATCCCAGAGAGGAAAGTGAAAAACCCTTCATTTCTGCGTCCATGGATTGAATGCAATATTATTTTTAAACGAGATGCAGAATCATTTCAAGAAAATGAAGACCCTCGCCTCTTTCAGGCTATTCAGGACTTAAACTGCAGTCAACATGAAGCCAACGTATGTGTGTGGCAGTTCCAAGCCCGGAGTCTTTACTACTGCTTCAGACTGTGTCATTCCGGATGCTGTACCTGGAAAAAGAGAAAGTATGAAAGGGAGACACAGAAAATAAGACACACAGAGAAAGAGACAGGCGAAGAAAGAGAGTGATTAAAAGAATGAAAGAGGTAAAATAAAAAGAAATGGCTGCACCAAACTGGTTTGGCTCAGTGGATAGAGCATCGGTCTGCAGACTGAAGGGTCCTAGGTTCGATTCCGGTCAAGGGGGATGTACCTTGGTTGCTGGCATATCCCCCCGATGGAAGGTGTGCAGGAGGCAGCTGGTCGATGTTTCTCTCTCATTGATGTTTCTAGCTCTCTGTCCCTCTCCCTCCTCTCTGTAAAAAATCAATAAAATATATTTTTTTAAAAAGGGAAAAGAAAAGAAATGGCTGATAGGGAAAATAGACATATTCATCCGCCTCTCCCCCAAAATGATGAAGCACATTCAGCAAGTCCTCTTAGAAAGGAGCTGCTCAGCGCTTAGACTGCATCTCCCTATCCTGCTAAAGAATTAGAGATGGAATTCTCTGAGATTCTGTCGTATGCTAATGGAAATTTAGCTTTCTTCCTCATTCTCGCTCTGTGACTAACACTCCACGGTGAGGGCAGCCGCTGACAGTGCCGGAGCCAGGGCGGCGGGGCCCCCAGGCTGGTGCGAGGCGCAGACCCAGCAGCAGGGTGGGGGGAGGCTGGCTGTGCCATGTGCCATCAGCAGTGTGACAGTTCTGGAGTGATCCAGTTAGCTGCTCCTGGCCCTCCTTGGACACGGAGTCCAGCCTGAGATGAATATTCAGAAGTTGGTAAGAAAGTGCCCCATGCTGAGTGTAGGGCTCAGGACGGGTCTTCCCAAAGTCCCCTTTCCCTCCACAACACTAGCATTTGGGCCCTGTCAACTCTGCCCAGCTTCTCCAGCTCTGAGAACTGCACTGCGGCCCAGTGTCCACCCTGACTCCCCACAGGCCTCTCGCTTCATCCCCGCCCCCTCTTCCAAATGTGCACCAGGGAGTGTGGGGCTGGCCCATCTGTGACAGTTCAGAGGTCAGTCTGGGCCTTGGCACAGGCGCCTCTCAGAGTGGCACTGGTGGGGCTGGCCACACAGTGGGATTTCTCTCTAATTGGAAGCCTGGTGCCCAACAGAACCCGGTGCACCGCCTGAGTGGGACAGAGCCAGCGATGACAGCCAGGCCAAGGCAAGCTGGAACATTCCGGTGCAGTGACAGCTTGAGCCATCGCAGCAGAGTCAGGCCATCCAACTCCCAGCCCCAGTGGAACAGGTGGCCGTGGAGCAGGTTTTGGGCAAACTTCAAAGAACTTCACAATTTTACAGTTTCTGATTTATAATCACGGATAAGTACTTGCTCACATGTATATAATATATTCTTGGGAATTTCTGTTCTTTCTCTCCTTCCGCATTCTTCCCGCCCACCCCTCCCACCTTGCCCTAACCCCACACACATACCATGAGCAAATCTAGAAAAAGAAAATGGACTTGAGAAATTCACCTCTTCACAAAATTACCTACACGAAATGGCCCCGCCTGCACACAGCACAGCTACTTGTCTGTAAACCTGGACTGATGACCCAGTCTGATTCAGGTTGTCAAGTTTAACTTTCAAACGCTCAGGATTTTAATAGATACAACAAGAGGAATACAAGAGTACTGTTGAAAGCTACCGCTTTTTTTTTTTAAACCTAATAATTATGTTGACTTATTCTCATTTTCTTCCACGATGCTGAAGAACATGAACAGAAACAATGAGTTAAGCGTATGGGTAGGACTCCTGTCCAGCAGTTAAGAGTGCAGGCTCTGGAGGTAGGATGGCTGGCTTCGACTCTCCCATGTCCTAGCTGTGTGACTTTATCCTCTCTGTGCCTCAGTTTCCTCATCTATGAAATTGGTATAATTGTGCCCAATGCATTCAGTTGTTGTTGAATATTAGGTGCAACAATCTTTATAAAATGCTAAGTGTTATGCTATTTGGATTCATTTAACAGAGATAATATTGAGCATGGAGAGAAAAACTATATAGGTCTCTACCATCATTTTCTCATTTACTCCTGCCCATTTTCCAGATGAAAACACTGAGGCTGAGAACATTAAGCAGTTTGCACTAGGTGAAACCATTAATAACAGAACCGGGCTTCGCACTCCTGTCTGACTGACCCAGAGCTTGTCTACACCTCACCTGTGCACTTTGCAAAGGCACAAAGATGCCTTCTAGAGGTGAGACACTGCCTGCTGACAAACAGCTTCCACTTTTCACTCAATGTCCTCTGCTCTTGGGTATTTCTTTTGATACCAATAGCCATAAAGAAACTAATTCTCTTACCCTAGCCCGTTTGGCTCAAGAGATAGAGCATCGGACTGAGGAATGAAAGGTCCCAGGTTTGATTCCGGTCAAGGGCACATGCCAAGGTTGCAGGCTCTATTCCCAAGGTTGTGGGCACATCCCCAGTAGGGGGTGTGCAAGAGGCAGATGATTGATGATTCTCTCTCATCAATATTTCTAATTATCCCTCTCTCTTCCTCTCTGTAAAAAAAAATCAATAAAATATATTTTTTTAAAAAGAATCTGTATCAGCCATGCAACAGGGGGCGTGCAACAGGTAGCTGATCAATGATTCTCTCAACATTGATGTTTCTATTTCTCCCTCTCCCTTTCTCTCTGATTAAATAAAATAAAAAACTTTAAAAAAAAAGAAGCTAATGCTCTCCCTCATTATGTGCCCTGACTCGCTACTTTCCTACAACAAGGCTAATCAAAGCAGCATGAAAACAGTGCATTGTCGCCAAAGCACCAATCTGGCTCTGAGTCCCACAGAAGCCTTCCTCTCTTTAGGGTCTACTGTTTGCTGATTTCTTGGTTGGAGCTTTCTTTTTTTAAAAAACAGAACAAAACATGCTTTTATTCTTTTTTCTTTTTTAAAGCAAGAGAGGGAAAGGGAGAAACATGGTTGGGCTGCCTCTTGCACACCCCTTACTGAGGATTGAATGAATCTGCAACAGCGCATGTGCCCTGACTGGGAATCGAACCAGTGACCTCTTGGCGTATGGGGTGATGCTCAAGGAGGCTGGCTGGGGCTTTCTGTGTGGAATTTCCTGGTCACTATGGTTTCTAGAGCTCCGTAAAGACTGTGCTATCCTCCAGCACTTACCCTGACACCTTAGTAAGTAATACAAGATTGGTCTAACTTACCAGGTTCCTTGAGGTCCTTATACTGATGACATCTGTCCCTCGCTTCAACCACTAACTGAGCTCTCAATGCCAAAGGTCCTGCCTGCTAACACACAATCTCTTCCCACTCAGTGCCCTGGCCATTGCAGAGCGCCCACAGGCCGTGACGGGCCCACAGCCACCCTCCACAGCTAAGTTCAACAACCAATCAACATGAAAGGGATCAGAAAATACTGTTTAGAGACACTCCAATACAAGCAACCCCTAATTTTGTGACCAAAGTCAACAGACCTCGGCAGAGCTCCTAAGCAAAAGGAAGCAACATCCACAGTTTTAAGAGATGGCAACTTAAACCAGAAATCATAATTTTTCTCTGCAGCTGCAAAACTTTGTTTTACTGAACGCCGTTACCTTCTGCATCACGTATAGGGAATTTTAAACAGGCAAATGGAAGAAGGTCTGATTGAAGATGAAGTTAAGTGAAAGAAATTGGTCTCATTTAGCCCGTGACAGGATTCATCTGTGTTCCCAAGTCCACTGAGGTGGCATCATGGGCGTTTCATATTCATGAGCTGC